TTCGGAAGGTTCCGTTACTATTACTGAAGAAAGGGGAGATCAGGGCTGGCGTCGATGATGAGTCCAACGATGCTTTTCGGCCCATGTGTATTTCGCTGTATGCTCCTAGGGAAGGCTGCGGTAATCAACCCCTTGGGTCATTCAGCAAGTTACAGTTGTGTACAGCATGCATATCGCTAGGATCAACTTGTACACCCCCGATCCGGGCGAGAAGCACAGCATCAGTTTTTGTTTTGTGGAAAAAGATCAACCAATTCGCTTGAGCGTTTGCCATGGCTGTTCAGTTTTGACTGCCCGCTGTGGAAGCGTTCTTCAGGTTATGAGCGCCCAACCCGCGGACCATGCGCAGGGCCGCGATGACCGAGAAGTCCATCATCCTGGAGGCAGACATGCTGGGGAGGTGGAAACCGGAGCGGGTGGCTCGGATGCTACACAGGGTGTAGTGTCGGAACCCCCGCAGATGAATGGAGTGGGCAGTGGTGGAAGCGAAAATAGGCCGAGAGGGATTACAGATGCCGTTCTGGAGCCCGCTGAGACTGTCACTGCTGAGGAACAACCTCGAGGAAGCAATATGGTAGACAGTTGTGGTGCTGGTGATATGCAGAGGACGCAGGCTCGCACAGACAACGGCTCCCAAGGAGCTACAAGTGGAGTGGATCCGGCTGTTATTTCACCCGTGGAGCAGCAAGTGCCTGTTGCTGGTGGTGGGGCAGATATACCTCACCATGCTTTTGCGACGCCCCGGTCGATGAGGAGTTCTACTTCTGTGACAGGGGAAGTGAACCAAACCCAAGGAGGTTGGCCGGGCTGGATGGTCAAGCTGGGAGATTTGTTTAAAGCAGGGCCGCCGGCTACGTGGCTCCCGAGTCCTATTCCCTCGCCGCCGAGGCCTCGACGACTTCTGGAGCCAGGGATGCTTCGTGCTCCGCCACCGCCAAGAACACTGCGAGGACCTGAGCATAGTGGAATGGGATTTAGGGTAGAAGAGCCCCGGTTATATGTGCCCCCTAACCATAACACCCCAAGCAGCAGCAGCATACCGGCGGAAGCTATCCAAGCTGAAGTTCAACGACAGCTTGGGGGCCTATTGAATAGACTCCAGGCAGCAGAGGATGTCAATTCTCGCCTACGTGAGGAACTTGCTCAGGCGAAAAGCGTTGCAAGTGGGCAGGGCTTTGCGGTACCCCATGGTGATCAAGTACCAAGAGGTGATCCTGTGCAGGCTTCTCAAGGTGATTCAGTATGTGTAGGCGGTCCGAGTACAGGTGCTGGGATTTCGGGTGAGTGCAATCAAAGTCAAGATGAAGGAAGACAGCATCGCCCTGATCCATGGCGCGATCCACTCGGTGCCTTATGGGAAGAGCTGCAATCTCGAAGATCAGGGGGTCAGGATTCCCGTGCTTACCAACCTGAAGCACAGGAGCAAGCTCGCTCTGAGAATGCTCGACCGGGGATTGAGAGTGACGCCACTACAGCGATCTTGGAGGCGCTTACTAAAAACCTGGTGAGTCTACAAGAGGTGCAGCTGAAGACGATGAAGAAGGATATTGAAGGGGAAGACACCCCTGAGCAAGTGAAGAGCAGTGCAATCACACTGCCGCCTTTGGTTGGACCGGATGAGTCGTCAGCTGGGATATTGTTTCAAGACTGGATCACCCAGGTGAGCATCCCAATGCAAGACTTATCAGCCTCGTCCAGTGTGTGGTGGAAGGAGGTGTTGAAGTTGGTGCAGAATACATACAATGCATGGCTGGCGGCTACCCCGCTGGAGCGGCTCCATTTAGAGCCCACAGGCCACGAGATCCTTACGACGTCAAAGTGGACAAGGGTGAACTCTAGGGCTTGCTCGTTGGTGCTTCAGGCGCTTACAGAGGCAGTGAGGATGGACCTCATCGCCAGAAGAGCAGTACAAAGCATGCCGATGATTTTGTTTCGTCTGCATACAAGCTACCAGCCAGGAGGAGCATCGGAGAGGTCGGCCGTGTTGGCTAGCCTTCAACACCCAGCGCAGCCGGCTTCGTTGGAAGCAGCGCTACAGTGGCTTAGGTCGTGGCCGAGATGGATGCAAAGATGCAAGGACTTGAACATGATGATACCGGATGGCTCAGTATTGGCCAAGGCTTTGACCACAGCTACGTCTAGGTTCGTGGGAGAAAATGCAGACACGCAGTTTAGGACGCAGCTTTTGAGATCGAGCCTGCGTATTGACGCGCAGCCATCGGTGGCAGATGTGACCAAGTACCAGCTATGAAGTTCTCATCTACAGCC